CACTGTTTGAATTGAGCGCGTCGCGATACCGGACGATCACATGAATCACCGCCGCCACACCGACCACCGTCACGATCGCCGTGAGCATGGAGCTAACCATGCTCAATCGTAACCCGCTCACAACGATCAGCGCCCGCGTGAGCAACAACGAAAGCTGTACCACGGCCAGCGGAATCAACACCCAGCGGAGACTGCGAAAGCAAATCAAAATCACCAGCGACAGCAGCAACGTGCTTGACCAGCCGAGCCGCTCGCCGTCTTCTTCGACGAAACGAAAGCCGTCGGAAATCATCACCGGTTCACCGGTCAAGTGACCGCCGGGCACGTCACTCATGACGTCGCGTAGTCCGTCGATCGTCTCTCGCCGGGGAACCTCGGTCTGGCCGCGCGGGATCAACATCACGGCAAGCGAAGCCACATTGCCTTGGCTGTTGTGGGTATAGCCAGCAAACAACTTTCGCTGGAGAGTCGCCAAATCACTATCGAGATCCATGTAGGCTTCCGCCGGGGATCGCTCTTGGTTGATTGACGGTTCGTCAGCGTCGGATTCTGGAAGCGGGTTTTCCAGAATTCGGTCGATACTCAGCACGTCGTTCACACCGGGAACCATGATCAGCCGCTGTCGCAACTCAGCAACACGTGCGATCCCGCTGCGATCCGCCTGAAACAATTCCTCGTCGGGATAGACCGCCAGCACAATCTCATTGCCGCCAAACGTCCGCTTCAACTGAAAGAATGACTCCAACACGGGATCGTCGGGCGGGAACATGGTTTCGATCGATCGATCCAGACGCAGCCGCGACGCGGGCGTCATGGCGAGCAATGCCAAGGCAATCCCCATGGCCAGCAGCGGCCAACGTTGGCGGAGGAGATAGTCAACGGTATTGGTAGCAAGGTCGGACAACGGTCGGAGTACTGTAAAGGCGGGCGCGGGACGGAGCAGCGTTCGATCATAGCTTGTTTCTGGTAGTGTGGCAGGTGGGCAAGCGGTCGAGCGGATTTGCATCGCGCCCGCAGGGAGCGCATATTAAACGCTTCCTGCCCGCACCACATTCGGAGCCAATCGCATGTCCCGCCATATCAAACCATCGCCCAGCCGTCGTTCCTTTCTTGGCCAAGCCGCTGCTGCCAGTATTGCCACGGTCGCTTTGCCCACGATTGTTCGCTCGGCTAGTGCTAATGAGGAAGTGCGGTTGGCGGGCGTTGGCGTCGGTGGCAAAGGTTGGGTCGATATCAACGGGGCCGCTAAGTATGGCAAGGTGGTTGCCTACTGTGATATTGACACCGGGCCAAACCGGCGCGGCGGCTACGCCAATGCCGCCGAAAAATGGGCCGATGCCCGCGGCTACACCGATTGGCGCAAGCTACTCGACACCGAGGGCAAGAATCTCGACGCGATCACTATCAGCACGCCCGATCACATGCACGCTCCCGTCACGCTCACTGCCCTACGGATGGGACTCGCCACCTACACACAAAAACCGCTTACCCGCACCGTGCATGAGGCCCGCACGCTAACGGTTGCGGCCAAGCAAGCTGGCGTGGCGACTCAAATGGGTAACCAAGGGCATAGCGGCGCGGGGTATCGCACGCTGGTCGAAGCGGTGCAAAGCGGCGCGCTGGGGAAGGTGAAGGGGGCACACTGCTGGTCGAACCGGCCGATCTGGCCGCAGGGGATTAATCGTCCGCAAGGTAGCGATCCGATTCCCGACGCCGTGGCTTGGGATCTGTGGCTGGGCGTTGCTGCTGAGCGGCCGTACAAGAAGGGGGTTTACCATCCCTTCAATTGGCGCGGCTGGTACGACTTCGGTGCAGGCGCGCTGGGCGACATGGGTTGTCATATCATTGACCCGGCTGTTTGGAGCCTGGAATTGGAAGCGCCGACGAGCGTGAGCTACTCCGGGCCGAAGCCGAACCCCGAGACGTTCCCCAAACAGGAGACCCTTCGCTACCACTTCCCCGCGACGAAGCAGACAGCGGGCGAGATCGACCTCTACTGGTACGACGGCGGGCGCATGCCGTCGGCCGAGCAGGCTCATTTGCCGTCGGGCTTCAAGTTGCCGACGCAAGGTGTCATGCTCGTCGGCAGCGAGGCAACTCTGGCTTGCAGCCACGGAGGCAAGCCAGCGATCTACGCTGGCGGTGAACCGCAGAAGATCACCAAGGAAATTGGTGGAGCGGATCACTACCAGATTTGGGTCGAGGCGATCAAAGGAGGAGCGGAACCCAATAGCAGCTTTGCCTATGCCGGGCCGCTGACCGAAACCGTGCTGTTGGGCGTGATTGCTTCCCGCGTCGATGCCGGCGAACTGAAGTGGAACGCCGACAAGCTACAGTTTTCCAACTCCGACGCTGCCAACGCCTTCGTGCGGCAAGAGTACCGTAAGGGGTGGGAAGTCGAAGGGCTGTAGCCTCGCAGGATGGAGTGGCACTCCGTCCGATCGGCGTTTTACCTGCTCTAAGAGACGAAGTACCACTTCGTCTTACATGTTTGAAGTACGACTTCGTCTTACTATGCCAGCAACTCACTGATCACCTCGCCGCCGGTCTGGCTTAATTGCTTGAACCGGCCGCCGTGGAAATAGGTGAGCTTGTTGTCGTTGAGACCCAGCAAATGCAACAGCGTGACGTGGAGATCTCGGATCGGATGAGCGACTTCAACCGCTTTGTGACCGATCTCGTCGGTCGCTCCGATCGCGTGCCCTGCCTTCACGCCGCCGCCAGCCAACAGCACATTCATTGCCGTGGCGTTGTGGTCGCGACCGACCCGACCGCGACCGACTGAGTTGTCAGGCGAGCGGCCAAACTCGCCACACCAGACGACAAGCGTGTCGTCGAGCAAGCCTCGTGAGCGAAGGTCTTTGATCAAGGCTGCCATCGGCTGATCGACCACTCGAATTCGGGCACCATGGGCACCCTTGAGGTCATCGTGCGAGTCCCAGCCGACGGAGTAGACTTGCACGAAGCGAACGCCTTTCTCGATCATCCGCCGGGCGAGCAAGCAGCGGCGGGCGAAGCCGTCATCGACCCCTTGCTTGCCAATCCCATATGACTCCAGCACATGCTTTGGCTCCCCTTCCAGATCGACGATCTCGGGCACTTGAGTCTGCATACGGAAGGCCAACTCATAGCTGTGCATGCGGGCGGCAAGCTCGGTGTGCTGTGGGTTTGCGGCAGCATGGTCGGCCTCAAGCTGCCCCAGCAAATCGAGATTCTTCCGCTCCATGGCTCGCGTCATGTGCGGCGGTGGATGCAAGTCCAGCACTGGCGAACCGGACGGTCGCAGAGGTGTTCCTTGGTAGTGTGCCGACAGATAACCATTCGACCAATTCGCCGTGCCACCTTGCGGATAGTAGACATCGGGCAGCACCACGAAACTCGGGAGATCTTGGTTTTCAGTCCCCAGTCCGTAGCCCACCCAGGAACCGATCGCTGGCTCTCCGCCAAACCGGCTGCCCGTGTTCATGTGCAAGTTGGCGGTCGGATGATTGATCGACTCCGCCTGACAACCATGGTAAACGCAAAGTTCATCGGCCACCTTAGCGAGGTGCTCGAAGCGGTCACACATTGATAGACCCGATTCGCCATGCCGAGCAAACTGAAAGGGCGAGCCGACATACCGCCGTTTGCCACTGGCCATGGCAGAAAGGAGCTTGCCGCTTTGCTTGAACTCCTGGCCGTCGAGTTGGGTCAGCTTGGGCTTGGGATCAAACGTATCGATGTGGCTCGGCCCGCCCGCCATGTAGAGGAAAATGCATCGCTTCGCTTTGGCCGGGTGGTGCGGCTGGCGAACTCCCAGCGGATCGGCGTCGGCGCGCACCTGAGCCGATGACTTCTCCTCGGCTTGCAACAGCGAATTGAAGGCAACCGTGCCAAGCGTGGAGCCGAGGCCGTAGAGTAGTTGTCGTCGCGAAAGACTGGAATGGTTCATGGCAGGGGATCACGATCGAAATCGTTAATAGATGTAAAGAAACTCACTTGAATTGAACAACACCAAACAAAGATCAGCCACTGCCCGCACCGATGGCTCGACCTCCCACGGCTGCAGGTCTTGTTCATAGTTTTTCAACTTGTTCAGGGGAAACTTCTTCTTCTCGGAAACGCCTGTGCGTTCGCTAATGCCATCGAGTTCAACCTCGGTCGGCAACGCAATGTGTTCTAGCCGATGCGCTTCGTGCATTTGCGTCATTTCCGCCAAGTGTTTCAGCGCAGCGGCTCGTTGGCGGTCGGTCGGCGGGCGACCGTAGGCGGCATTGAACACAGCATCGACTTGAGCGGACTCAGTGGCGTACTCTTTGCTGATCTGGTTGGCCAACGCCAACGCGCGTTCGTGAACAAACTCGCCATGGAGCATGGTCAATGCTTGGGGTGCCACGATTGTTTCGTCGCGCCGCTCGCAAGAGAGATCGGCTCCCGGTCGATTAAACGTTTCCAGCATGGGGTTGCTCATACCGCGGAACCGCACGGCATACAGCGCGCGGCGGTTGCGATCGGCTCGTTTGGAGTCAGGCTGGTACGGTGGAGAGAGCTTGCCCATTTGCAGCCTCGGCTGGAATGCTACTTCCCAATTGATCTCTGGGAAATTGCTGGCTCCGCCAATCTTGCGGTTCAGTTCGCCGGTCACCGCCAACAGGCTATCCTTGATTTCCTCGGCTGTGAGGCGGCGGGTCGGAAAGACCGACAACAGCTTGTTGCCTGGATCGACTTTTGCCAGCAGTTCCGCTTGCGGATGTCGCCCGCTCCGCTGATAGGCCGCGCTGGTCACGATCAACCGGTGAAGCGATTTCACCGACCAGTCATGCTCGACAAACCAGGTGGCCAGCCAGTCGAGCAATGCCGGATGCGTCGGCTTGGCGCCGGTCTTGCCGAAATTATTCGGCGTGGCAACCAACCCTTTGCCGAAGTGCATTTGCCAAACGCGATTCACCATAACCCGGGCCGTCAGCGGATTGCTTGGGCTGGCGACCCACTCGGCCAACTCGCGACGGCGGCCGTCTCGCTTGGCAGTCACATTGGCATCGGCCCCAACAACGCTCATTACGCCAGGGTTAACTTGCTCGCCTGGACTTTCGAGCGACCCACCGGCGAGGATATTTACTGGCTTGGGGACGGCGTTGCGGATCTCGTAGTTGCCACCTCCCTTGCTATGAGCAGTCGCCGCAAACACAGCTTGAATCTGGTAATAGTCACGTGTTGGGATCGGATCAAACTTGTGATCGTGGCACTTGGCACACCGTAGCTCGTGGGCCAGGAAGGTAATGCCGACGGAGTTGGTGACATCGTCTAGCCAAAGCTGCCGGGTGACGGCGGCAACACTCATGGCTGTTTGCTCCCAGGGGCCCATCCACAGGAAACCGGTTGCGTTTTGTGGGGCATTGTCCAATTCGTCGGCGGCGAGTTGCTCGCGGACAAACGTGTCGTAGGGCTTATCGGTGTTGAACGACTCAATCACATAGTCTCGGTACTTCCAGGCATCGGGGCGGAAGTCGTCACGCGAAAAGCCGTTGGTGTCGGCATAGCGAACCACGTCGAGCCAATGCTGCGCCATGCGTTCGCCATAGTGCTCGCTTGCCAAGAGCCGATCGACTAGCGATTCCCAGGAGTCGCGAGAATCATCGCCAACGAACGCTTCGATTTGCTGGGCACTCGGCGGTAGTCCCGTAAGGTCGAAACTCAGCCGGCGAATGAGCGCCGCTCGACTCGCACGCGGCGCGGCGGGTAGCTTGGCCGCAGCAAGCGATTGCGTCAGGAAGGCATCGATCGGATGACGTACCGCCCCCGCGGGCAACGCTTGCCAGGGAATTTCCTCACGCTCCACTGGCTGGTACGCCCACAAGTCAGCCGGATCGTAGCGACGGTTTGTCCACTCGTCGCTTTGGCCGCCACTGGTGGCAACGATCACGCCGTCGGGCGACCCGCTTGACCATGTTTCGTTGCCAAGCTGCTTGATCCGTTCCGCCGACGGCCAAGGGGCGCCTGCTTCGATCCATTGTCCGACCAACTCAATCTCTTTCTCGCTGAGCCGATCGTTCTCTTTGGGTGGCATTTCGATCGTTTCCCAACGAACCGCTTGCCAGAGCAGGCTTTCGGCGGGTTTGCCCGGCACGAGACCCGCTTCGCCCGATTCGCCACCGCGCAGCAGCGTTTCCCGAGAGCGGAGATCAAACTCGCCCTTGATGTCGTCGGGGTCTTTGCCGTGGCAGGCAATGCACTTGCGGCGGAGCAACGGCTCGACCGAGGCCACAAACAGCCGTTCGCCGGCCGACGCCTTACCATTGGCTGACGGCTCGGCGGCCGCGCTGTGGGTGGCAAACCCAACCAGGCATGACGCCAAGACAAAATAGTAGACGTTTCGCATTGATTTGATAGCGGACGGGATATGGGGCGGGCAAGCAATTTAATGAATTTGCGAACCGAAATGGCTCAAGGTAGCTCTACCCATTATGCTCTTGGGCGATCAGGTCAGCAAGGAAATAAGTCACTACCATAGCAGCGAGTCATGAGTGACCAATCAACTGTCAAAACCAGCAAACTACTGAGCCTTGTGCTGCGGCATCGGCCCGAAGCGATCGGAATCGAAGTCGATCCGCACGGTTGGGCAAGCGTCGAGGAGATCATCGCTGGTGCGCGCCGCCAGGGGACGTCGATCGACCGGGAGTCGATCGCCCGGGCGGTTCGCGAAAACGACAAGCAGCGTTTTACGCTCAGCGACGACGGCAACCGCATTCGGGCCAACCAAGGTCATTCGATCAAGGTTGATCTGGAACTAGCGCCCCTGGAACCACCGCCGCAGGTGTTCCACGGCACGGTTGCCCGGTTCCTCGATTCGATCCGCCAGCAGGGTTTGGTTCCCGGCACCCGACAACATGTTCATTTGTCGGCCGATGAAAAGACCGCCCTGATCGTCGGCAGCCGACGCGGAAAGCCGATCGTGCTCGAAGTCGATAGCGGTGCGATGTCCCGCGACGGCCTCCCGTTCTACCGATCAGCCAACGGCGTATGGTTGACCGATTTCGTACCCGCCCGGTATTTAACCTTTCCGCTGTAGACTTACCCGCCGCTTGTAGACGAAGTACCACTTCGTCTTACAACAATCAAATCATCTTACAATTGCCGCGCCAGCTATTCCTCCGCGAGTTCCACCTCTGGCTTGGGAGACGAGCCGAGAAAGCTCCAATAGTGCGGCTTGCCGTTCTCGTTGACTTGGCCATCGGCCGAGACCCACAGTTCGTTTTCACCATACTTGACCACCGCCTTGTAGTCGGTGAACGGTACGATTGCGTAACGCCACCGGCGGTCGGCTTCCGCAGTCGAGTCGGCGTCGTTGTATGCTTCGATCAACACGATCACTTCGGTGTCGGTGCCTTGGCAAAAGACATACATGGCACCATGAGTCACCCCAGCCTCTTTGGAGTCGTACTGATAAACGGGCGTCGGCACAAGCCGCAATTCCCAGCGTTCTTCTTCCAAGGTGGTGGTGTTGGCGGTGAACTTGCGCGCCATGCGTTTCATTTGCAAGCGTTGTTGCAACTTGGTTGCTGCCGGCGGGGGTTGCTGGCCAGGAAATTCCTGCCAAACAAATCCAGGCGCGTTGCTTGTCCAAACGACTCGTTCCCTGTGGGTCAACGAAAGCGGCTTGGGAAAGAGGGAATGAAACTCATAGGAACACATGCGGGTTGTCGGCGAATCGGTCCACGCGAAAACGACGCCAACCACGGCAGGGCGTTTGTCGGGCGTGAGCCACAAATGAACCGCGCCGATGTCATCGCCCCGCACTGATTGCGTGTGGTGAAACACTGGCTTCTCATACAGCGAAAAGGCCTTCGAGTCGGGGGCGTTGGGCGCAATCGTGAATGCTTCGGCGTAATCACGCGAAACGCCAAGCCAGTGATCGGAGATCGCTTTGGTTTTGGCTTGTTTCTCGGCCGGATCGTCATCGGCGCGAAGGGGACTGACCAACAGGGCAAGAAGCATCAGCGGAAGTGATAGGGTTCGCATGGCTGGTTCGATCCATTGATTCTGAGGTGGCATAATGGCGGGCCTTATTTTGGTTGCAAGTCGCGAACCGAGTAGTAGAACGTCCAATTCTCAAACGGCGTTGGCACCGGTTCCACGAACGGCACGCTCCACACGGTCTGCTTGTCGAGCCGGAGATCCAACCCGCAAATGGTCATCCGTGCCGCACCGTAATGCCAAGTGGCTGCGCCGGCACGCGGCTCGTGCAGATCGATCACCAGATATGCGTCGGGGTTGGTACCGTTGGCGGCCAGTGCGAATACCGCACCGGTTGGCAGCGGCGGCTTGCCATCGGCCGGCGCGTCGCTGCTGACGGTGTACTCCATGAGCGGAGTCGTGAGGGGGCGCATCTCTTGCACTTTTCCAGTCGACGGGTCGATCGTGATCGTCGCCGCGAAGCGTGACGCGAGCTGCTTCATTTGCCGGCGGCGAACAAACAAGCGATCGGAGGGAACAGGGCCATTGTCGATCTTCCGATATTCAATTCCCGGCTTGCGTGACTGATACCGCCGCCCGCCATCCCAATTGACATCGACCCGATGTTCGCTGAACGACGTGAGGCAGTGCGTCCACCGCGGAGTGGTATTGTCGTTGTGATCGATCCCCGCCTCGATCTTTTGCAGCACCACCGGGCGACCGTCGAGCTGCCATGCCCACAGTGTGGCATTGTAAATGTCGCGAGGCTGATCGGAGTAGCGAAAGATCGGATGCTCCACGAGTTGAGCCACTCGTTCGCCATCGTCGGTCTTGGCGATTACCTCGGTACTCTCGGCGAGTTCGCGCATTTGCCGTTCGATGAAATCGCGCTCCGCCTCGGTCGCCGTACTCTGGGCGAACGACGTTCGCGGCAGGGCTATGGAAACGCATGCGACCAAAGCCGCGATCACCATTGCAGTGATCATAGTGAGGCGCGACACCGAGTTTGCAGTGAGCATGGTCAATCTCTAGAGTGCCAGAAAAGGTAGAACAAAACGGCGATCACAAGCAAACGATTGTTATTGTCAGACAAAACGTCTTGAATGTCAAATCTCACGCACCGCGCCACGCGTGACGCGCCATGTCGCTGCCAGTAGAATCTCTCATTGAATGGTCACTGCCTGCAAATGCCCACCGCCTCGAATCGTTCCATGTCTAAACCGCAACCCGAGCCGATCGATCCGGTCGAAGTCCCTCGCCTGGCAGCCGAAACGGTTGCTGCCGACCGCTTCCCGCACCTCGCCACGGTTGATCCCAGCGGCCAGCCACGCCTGCGGCCCGTCTCGCCCGTGCGAACCGATGGCTTCACCATCTACGTCGCCAATCTGCGGAGCTATGGCAAGACGGCAGAGATCGCCGCCAACCCGAAGGTGGAGTTGTGCTATCTCGACCCAAACCACAATCAAGTGCGCATAACCGGCGTGGCGGAGATCGTCGATGACCGCCCGCTGCTGGAAGAAATCTGGAACGAGAATCCGCTGCTGCGGCAATACCTTGGTTCGTTGGACAATCCCGAGTTAATCGTCTATCGGATCGTGCCTTCGCGAGTGAGGTATATGCGCGAGTGGGCGCTGGAGTACTACGAGGTGGCTGTGTGATGTATCACTGAACTGCGTCGACACCCTCGCGGTGTTCCCCCTACTCCGCCGGCTTCTGAAACGACCGCACGACCAACGAAGCCGCTCCGCAAACCAGCAGCATGTCGGCGATGTTGAAATTTGGCCAAGTGTTTTCCTTGGTCTTCCAGCGGAACAAAATCCAATCGCGAACCGAGGTCTCCTGCACGGCGATGAACTCCTCGGGGTAGCCCGCCGCGACATACTGCTGGCGGAGGTCGTCGGTCATACCGTAGCCCAGCCGGTCGTAGAGGTTGCCAAAAATGCCGGCGGTGATCGCGGCCAGCGCGATCGTGAGCCACAAGTCGCGGGCGGCTTTACCAATGAACAACCACGCTACGATGCCAATTGCCGCCGCGATTGAAAGCCCCGCGAAGAGCGTGCTCCAGCCAGCCCCAATCCCAAACAAGGCCCCCGGATTCATGGCCGACTCAATCCCGAAATAGTTTTCGATGATCCACCATTCATTATCGGGCCGCGGGATGCCGCGCCACTTGAAAACGGCATGCTTGGTCCAGAGATCGAGCACCGTGCCCACGGCCACGATCAGCAGGTACAAGGCGACCCGCCCCAGCATATTCGCCTCACTCATGGGCGGTTGGTCGGCGGAGCGTTGCTGGCCGGGAGATTTTGTCACTTCGGGATCCTTCCACGAACTTGCTATCGTATCCCCGGCGTCATTGGATTCCCGCCTGCGCGGGAATGACTTATATTGCGCGGGAATGACGAATTCATCGGGCGGCGGCCTGCGTTCACTCACCTTGCCAGCTAGCACTTAGCGAGGAGGGCGACTACTCGGCGCATTTCACGCAGTAGGGCGTATAGGGAATCACCTTCAACCGCGCCTTGGGGATCTTTCCCTCGCAACCGGCGCAGACACCATAAGCTCCGGCCTCGATTCGCTCAAGAGCACCATCGATCTGCTCGAGCACGATTTCCTCATTCTGCATGAGACTGAGGGTGAATTCCTGCTCGTAGTTGTCGGTGCCGATGTCGGCCATATGAATCGGCATGCTGGAGAGGTCGCCGCTCGATTCGGAGCGTGTTCGTTTCAGAGCATGGTCGGCCATGGCGTTGAAATCGCCCCGCAAACGTGCCCGCAAGCCTACCAACATTTCCTTGAACGGTTTCGCTTCGGTTTTCTTCATGGGTTGGCCTCGCTCGTTCGCTGCCGGGATAATCGCCCGGCCTGTCATGGGCAATATCGATCACACCGTTCCGTTGTAGGGTGAGTGAAATCACCCTGCTCGGGAAAGTGGTGACAGAATCTCTATCCTAGTTGTGACCGTCACAGCTGTCAAAACCCCTCCCTGGGTGGGCTGGCGGGGTCGTGGTGCGGATGCCCATTTCGCGAGATTTGCCCAACAGAGCAATACCGCCGGGATGGCCATTGGCAGCTGGTCGGTTCACAAACACAGATCCGATTCCCGCAGCGCAACAAAAAACCCGCTCCCCAATCGGGCAGCGGGCTTCGTATGGATGATAACGCGTAACACTTTGCAGCTTATAAAACTCTAATCTCGCCAGGAGTTCGGTTGAAACACATCTTCCGAAACCCGACGTTCCGCGACGCGGCCCAGTTCGTCCAGGCTACGACGCTGACCAACCGAGTGCCAGGAACTGACATCGGCCAGTTCGGGCATTAACTCGACCAGCTGCTCGACCAAGTTCTCCGCCATGTTTTGCATGGCTGGCGTGGTCGACTTTTCCAGCAAGGTTACGGCCGTTTTCATGAGCCGTACCATGCGTGCCCGATCCTGGATCGGACGTGACAGCGGGGCTGTCGGCTCGACCAGCAGATCTTCCAACGGCACGTCCAGCACACGCTGCCAGGCGTACAAGTCGGTTAACTGCAAGTCGCTGTCCGCTTCCTCCTGTTGCCGGACACTGCGGATGTCGGTCCCCAGATGTCGGGCAGCGCTGCGAAGCGAGACACCTTGTTCTTTCCGCACTTCTGAAATGCGGTGCAACTGCGAGTTGTCTCGCAGCGGTGGTGAATCGTCGGGCGGCGAAGCGCCGCTGCGACCCACCGGTCGATCTACAATCGCCATCTTCTGCATCCTCCCGCTTGGCAATTCCCAGATAACGCACCAGTGCATGCCAAGCACCGATAAGGAAAATAAAAAGGGATAAAACGCGGACGCATAAGTTGCCAACGATCGTGGCAACAATTCTCGGGGAGCGATCGCTACCCCAATAAAGCCGAGTGGAATCCGAGCGAGGCTCGGTTTGGGTCGCGAGGCGCGCAACGGCAACGCAGAAGATAAAGGCGCACGCACAGGCGAACAAAACGTCAACCATTTTCAGACTGTTCCTTCGTGAATTCGACCGAGGCGTTCCAAATCGTCTCGGCGATCGTGGCGATTCGGACTGAATCACAACGACTCTCACTGCGCTCACCTGGAATCGACATCCGTCAGAAAAGAGGGGATCGAGTGCAGCACGTAAAATGGTAGCCGAAGCCTGGAGTTATTACAAGTATTTTTGTTACGATTTCTAAACTGACCCCGCAATTGAATTGTCGTCGAAAATAGCTCGATAGATTTTAAGGCAGCGAAAGCAGCAGGCATGGCCGTCCTACCCTATTCGAAAAAGCCATTTGAATCGAATGGCGAAGTGTATCGTGCATTCAATGATTTGACTGAACTTCCCGATTTGCTTTCCAAATTAAAAGACAAAGGCTTCGCTTGAAGCAGATTCATGGTCGCGTTGTCGGTTGTATGAAATTTCGAGCGGATGCTATCCAACATGACATTCCATCCCGCGAATCGCTTTGTTCAGTCGAAGGCTAAGGAGGCAATGTCGGCAATTGCGAAGACGATTTCGGCAAGTTCCACGGAGCGTACGATCGTCGAGGCGGCACGACGCATTCTCGCCGAATTCGGACTCTTCGGCACCTGGTACTACAACTGCCCAGCGTTTGTGTTGCTCGGCGATCGTAGCTGCCTCTCAATATCCGGGCGCGACTATGTTCCAGCTGACGAACCGGCGGGAACCGAAAACTTAGTGACGATCGATCTAAGTCCCATCGAGCAGGGTTTGTGGGGTGACTTTGCCCGATCTGTTTGTGTTGAGAATGGTAGCGTTGTCGACGAACCGGCTTCGGCTGAATACCGTGAGGGCTTGACCGTCGAAGTTGAGTTGCACCAACGAATGGTAGATTTCGTCACACCGGATACATCGTTTCATCAACTCTATGAGTTCGCCAACGATGCCATTTCCGCCGCTGGCTATGAGAACCTGGACTTCATGGGAAACGTGGGGCACAGTATCGAAACGCGTCTTGAGAACCGTCAGTATGTTGAATACGGCAATTCCCGTCGTCTCTCTGACGTGCCATGCTTCACATTCGAGCCCCACATTCGTCGGAGCAATGGGCGATGGGGATTTAAGCATGAGGACATCTACTTCTTCGACCAGGGTCGCTGCACCGTCGTTTGACGGATCGGTTTGGATTGCCATAGGTGCGGAAACGGAGGGTAAATTGGGACGCTTCATCGACTGAAGTGGCCGATTTTGACCGGCGAGATAACAACCGCGGGGCGATACCCGATCGTGAGCGTTGGCCGGAACTGAAGGCGATTGGGAACAGACTGTTGATCAAGGTAGGTCGAAAATAAAGGCCATTTGCATCCGATGTGCAGCGCCACTGGCCCCGTCCACGTCCTGTCGCACACCGTACAGATACTCCGCCCCGACGCTTACACGATCTAACGGCTTCCAGATCAAATTAGCAGCAAGATAAGACGTTCGATGAACGTCATCGAATTCCTGGAACGCTGTGTTTTCGAGTTCGTTTTCGGCGTAGGTGAAGTTTGAGCTGAGGTGGTCGTTCCACTCGTGCGTGACGCCGATCATCCAACCGAACAGGCTGAGCAACTCCGATCGATCCAGCCCCGAGGGAGCGGCGTCAGGTAATCCGCGGTAGCTGCCGATCCCGTCGCCGAAAAGAATCTGGTAGTAGGCCTTAGTCTGTTCAGTCACCAGGATCGAGCCGGTGAAGTTGAAGCCCCATGCGGAACCGGTCACGACATTCTGGCCCGTCGGCTGAAACCCGCCGATGCGATACACATGCGCCAGCTGGAATTGTCCCCAGTCTCTGTCAAGGCGAAGCCGTGCCACGAAGTCCGGCGAGGGAGAGCGCGAATCGCCTGTCACTCCCATCGGCGGTACGATGATGAATCGCGTGTCCTCCACGGCGAAAGCAAACGTTACGCCGTCGATTGCCAGTGGTTGCGTCCAGCGCGCGAGCGCTTGGCGGCGATTCACGCTCGACACCGACCCTTCGAAATCAAGCGTCGCCGGAGCGGCGGAAACATCGGTAAATGTTGTCCAAGTGCGGC